TTTTTTCCAGGGTCTACTCCAAAGTAGGGTTACAGAAGTGTCCCCCAATGAAGGTTTACAGGCACCTTGCCTTACTTTGTTTTGGAGGGCTGTCTAAGTTCATACAATGAATACCCCTTTAAAAGCAAGGCCCCCCCCCCCCCCCCCCCTCAAACCCTAAACCCTAAACCCTGAACCCTGAACCCTAAACCCTAAACCTGCAGGTTTTCACAATCCTCAACATACCCTAACTTTAGTGGTTCGGCCTTTTTGGCTGGACTTGAAGGGGCAAAAGGGAGGTGCCTGCATTGGATCCTGACACACACACATATATATATATATATATATATATATTGTGTGTGTGTGTGTTTGGGTGTGTGGTTTTCAGGGTTTAGGGTTTTGGGGTTTAGGGATTACCCTGAAGCTGCAGACACACAAGCAGGACCTACTTCATTGTCTCATGATCTATAGTTCATACTAACTCCGGGCAAGTTGCAGCCTGAGGGTTGGGCTTTCCATGTCAGCCACAGGCCAACCTCCGCCCGAAACGGCCGTCATTGCTGAGCACGCTGCGCAGCTACACTGACGAGGACCTAGGACGCCCCCTGGCCATAAGGAGCCAGGGTAAGGGATGGGGGTGTAAGTGGCTCCGCTCCCTCCAGCTCTAAACCCCCAAGCCCTCCTGAACCCTCCACAAAACTCTCCTAAACCCTCCTAAACCCTTCTACATTCTCCCAAACCCTCTTAAACCCCCCAGCAGTTCACCCCAAACCTCTAAACCCCTAAACCTTAAATCCTGAAGACCTTCGAAGGGGGAATGTATCTAAGTTCCCTTGATTTCCTTGGGACAGGACCCGGGTGCTGAAGTTGTTCTTTGGCGAGGTTTGGGGTTTGGGGTTTAGGGTTTAGGGTTTGGGAACTTAGGATCTGTTCCGGGTTCTAGCCCAAACCCCGAACCCCCAAGCCCTAAACCCCAATTCCAGAACCCCGGACCCTAAACCCTCAACCCTGAACCCTAAACCCCAAACCCCAAAGCCCTAAACCCCAATTCCTAAACCCCGGACCCTAAACCCTCAACCCTAAACCCTTAACCCTGATTGGAGTCGAAGCTCACAAGTCCTCGTCACGCACTTGCAAAGCTCACGAAGCTGTGCGCCCTGATTCGCGCAGCTCCATTGGCTTAGGGTTTGATAGGGGTTATAGGGTTTACAGGGTTTTTAGGGTTTATAGGGTTTATAGGGTGTGCAGGGTTTATAGGGCTTATAGTGTTTATAGGGTCTACAGGGTTTTATAGGGTCTAGGGCTCAGTTGTTTGTTGTTGTGTTTCTCCTCTCCTTTTTTGGGAGGGGTGGGGGGGTAAACCCGTGAACCTAGACCCTAAACCCCAAACCAATGTCTCAGTGAGCCCTGCAGGGTGTTGCCCGAAGTTACCCTCGAAGTTGTCAGACAAACCAAGGCTAGAACAGGAGCCTTGTAAATTAGGGTTTAGGGCTTGAGATTAGGGTTGAGGGTTTAGGGTTTAGGGTTAGGGTTTAGGGTTTAAGGACGTAAAACCCTGCAGCCCGAAGCCCAACCCCTCCCCCCCCCGCCCCGCCCCAAAGTCTGAGCCCTAGACCTCAACTTCAGAAACCCTAAACCCATACCCCCTCTACTATTAAGGACCGTTCGGATAAGGGGGAACATCCCAACCCTCAGCCCGAAACCCACTAGAAGACCCAGGTCTCGACGTGGCGCATTCGCGTCATGTGGAGCTCGTGAGACAGGGCCGCTCTCCGATCTTTTTACGTCTAAGGGTAGATATGAAGCAGGGTTTATATTGAGTGTCTATAAGGTTCCTTTTTAATTTTGGTGAGTGTATATACCGGGTGTCCTTTTGGGGGTACGAGAAATTTCTACCCTACTTCAAATAAAGAATTCTGAGGTCTTATATAAGGGGCATATAAGGGTCCCCATCCAAGAGCTCCGACCATGTAACTACCCTAAGATAGCGAGAATGCCCGGAAGGTTTTTTGGTTTCAGGGCTTAGGGGCTTTTAGGTCTTTCGGCTTTGTGGGAGCTAAGGGCTTTTTAGGGTGTTAGGCGTTAGGTTTTGTTGTTGCCGAGCTTTGGGGGGGGGGGGGGGGGGGGGCGGTGTTTTTTTTTTTTTTGCCTACCGTTGGCCCTGGCGTGTTTGCCTTGGTAACATTGGCTCCAGGCCTCCTGGTCCTCTGGACCATACTTGAAGGTTCATGGTACTTACTAACCAATTAGAACTGTACTTATAGCCCTACTTATAATACCCCTAAAGGGCCTTATAGGGGGTGTCCCACTTACAAGTAGGGTTATAATTGGTTAGTAAGAACCATGAACCTCCAAGTAGTCAGGGACCCTATAACTTCATGTAGAGATGTGGAAATCTACCAAAATGGCTCCTCATGCCTGGGCACCTCCTTTTTCGGTTCCTCTCTTCCTTCTGAGAGCCGCCTAAGCCTAGGCTTGAAGAGACAAGCCGTGAAAGGTTTAGGGTTTAGGGTTTTTCTTGACTACATTGGGTTTAGGGTTTCGGGGGTTTATTCTAGGCTAGACTACATCGGGTTTAGGGTTTAGGGTTTTGCTTTCTAGGCTACATCGATCCCAAATCCTGGCCCTAAACCCTATACCCTAAACCCTAAACCCTAAACCCTAAACCCTCATCGTAGCCGAGGATTCACCGCCCGGGGCTTGGCTCACACGCTGCTCCTCGGCGCATCCTCTTGCATGAGGGGGCTTGTTCCCAGGTATCTATCAGTTCTAAGTGGGTTTAGGGTTTAAGGTTTAGGGTTTAGTGTTTAGGGTTTAGGGTTTAGTCTGGCTTAAAATAAGGACCATCTTGGGATGTTCCCCCTTTTACGAACAGTCCTAACCGGGGTGTTAATAGGGGGCTACTAAGATCCCTTCTAAGGACTGTAGTATAGTGGGAACACCCTAAGCACTATCCTTAGCACATAGACAGTTTATCTTATGTTCGCTTCAGGTATTTGCATTCCTTGGAAGATTTGATTTCTCCTAAGTGGCCAGTGGAGAGTTGAACCGTGTCAAGAGCAACCTATATGCTTCGCTGTCGAAGTTCTGGCCCGGGGCACCTTCGTCAATAATAGGTGCCGTGTTATAATATGGACCCAACAGCAGACCACGAACAGGACCACTCGCCTTTTCAAACAGACATGTGCCTTAATTGTGTTGTTTGTGCCCTTTCTGTAAGGCATACTATGAGTCCATTGGTACGTCCCCACATACTTATCTTTAATGGCTCACCACCTGACGTCGTTAAAGTGCGACCCACCACTCTAGACAGCGCAACGTAAGAACAGTCCCCTGAACAAAGCGCTGAGATGAGTCGAGAGTTTAGGGTTTAGGGTTTAGGGGAATTGCATGAATCGTGGAAGGGCTCATGCTCTATAGTTGCACAATGGACCCAGAGTAGGCCCTCATTCCCTTGATTTAGGGGTTAGGATCCCCTACAAACCCTTTATAAACCTTTTTAGACCCCTGATAGTAGCATGGTCCACTTGGTCTCCAAGGAATTGCCCTAAGCCCAATAGACGCACGAAAGAATCCTGGAATCAAACCCAGAGACCGTGGGGTTAAGGGGCTCAGGGCTTTAGGTTTACGAGCATATTCTATTTTTGTGTTTTATTCGTAGCATCATTGTTTGTATACATATACATATATATATATATATACATATGTATATACTCTTGCTTTTTACTGGGGGGGGGGGGGGGGGACCCAGAACCCAACAACCAACCCTAGCACGTGCCAGGAACCAGATTGCTACCGGTAACTGTGTGCAGCGGATGGTGCTGAGCACAGGATTCGAGCTTCTTGGCTGTTCAGGGTTTCGAGTTTAGGGTTCGGGTGTACGTTGTGTACGGTTTAGGGTTGGTTTAGGGCATTTAGGGATCGGGGCTTTTTTAGTCCGGGTCTGTAGGGCTCAGGTCGTCGCTTGTATGGTGCTGTTATGTTTTTGACTGAAGTCTTCTTGGGGTCGAAAGGTCCTTGGCGTCAGGTTCACTTCAGCTTTTGCGCAAGTGCGGTTTGATGTTAGTGCCCCTGGGGTTCGTGTTTAAGGGTTTTGGGCTGAAATGGTTTGGCTTTGTAGGGTTTCTAGCTGATGACGCCGAAGGGATTTCAAACTTGCTGTTTGTTTTTTTGTAAGCATTTGAGTTCCATGGCGGCTGTTGCGTATTTCGGGGGGTCCCTTCTAATGTTAGAAGTTAGAACAAAACCCCCATCGAAACTTTTCAGACTTTGACTCAAAACCCGGACCCTCAGCCCTAAACCCTAAACCTTGGCGGTTACTGCCTGTCAGCGCGTTCTTAAGGGAGGGGGATTCATGGGGGGGGTAGGTAACTAGGGAACCTTAGGGAAGCTTTAGGAGCCGTAGGAAGTAGTGGGGGGGGGGATTAGGGAACCTTTGGTTACGTACCCCCCCTTGAACCCCCCCCTCCCTTAAGAACCCTATAAGCCCTTCACCTTCCCTCAACCCCAAACCCTAAGCCCTACACCCTAAACCCTAAAACCCTAAAACCCTAAACCCTAAACCCTAAACCCTAAACCCTAAACCCTAAACCCTAAACCCTAAACCCTAAACCCTAACCTTGGTAGCTACTGCCTGGCATCTTGGGGAGAGTTTCGGCTTTGCTTCGTCGCGCTCGCTGGTGTAATGCCCGGAAGTGTTACCTTGAACCTCTTTTACCCTAAACCCTAAACCCTAAACCCCTAAATCCTTTTTTGTTGGGTTCAAGGGTCCCTTGAAAACGAAACACAACCCCAAAAAGGGGTGCCTTAATTACGACGATGGTTCCTGGGCTACGAAGATTTCTTTTTGGATGTATGGGTGTGTTTAAGATAGTAGCGGCAGTGTCATGTGTGCTTTTGTCTCGTGACAGCTTCGCAGCAAGTTCCCGCCGCTTTGTGTGAATTCTCTTGGCTCAAGGCGGTTGCTTGGTGTGTTCAGGTTTCGAACAAGACGCCCTGACAGCCCAATCCTTTCCAAAGCCATGCAAGTGTTCCTTCTGAGCGGCAGCTCCGTGACAGTGAATGTGGCACAGGGCCTGGAGGTGTGATGGGGGGGAAACCCTAAACCCTAAACCCTAAACCGGCGGGTTTAGGGCGTCAGGCTAGGGGGTTTGATGTGAGGGTTTGGGCAGCAACTAGCATGTAATCCAGTTATTTCGGGGTCGGAAGAAATACTTCCAGTATTCCCTTATGGCCCCTCTATGAATATACCATAATCGCCCCCCCCTCCCCCCCCCAAAACCCTGTTCTAATTAGTAAGGCCCCTAGAGTAGCCCTAAACCCTAAACCCTAAACCCTAAACCCTAAACCCTAAACCCTAAACCCTAAACCCTAAACCCTAAACCCTATGGCGTCTTTTGCAGGCAGCCAAGAGGCAAGTTGCCAAGGAGCTGGGCATCCTGCCGGCGGGGGTGCGCATCCTCTGCGAAGGCCTTGGCAGCCCCCCAAGCCTTGCGGCCCTGTAGGGTTTAGGGTTTAGGGTTTAGGGTTTAGGGTTTAGGGTTTAGGGTTTAGGGTTTAGGGTTTAGGGTTTAGGGTTTAGGTCGAAGTTTCAGGGTCTTTAGGGCTTAGGGCTTAGGGCTTGGCATTTCGCAAGGTTTCCGACAGTGGCAGCTGCTTTTTGGCTATCATTCAGAGATACAGCTTGGGATGTTCCCCCTTTTGCTAACAGTCCTTAATAGGGATCATAGAAACCCCTATTGTAATCCCCATTAAGGACTGTTAGTATGATAGGGTGAGCATCCCAAGATATAGCAGTTTGTGGGTATCCCTTTTGGGGTCCCCTAAATATTCGGTGCCGCAGTATAATAGGGATCCAAAAAGGGGACCGTGATTTTGACAGCCACCATATGTAGATGTACCCACAAACTGCTAAGTCTTGGGATGCTCACCCTATCATACTAACAGTCCTTAATGGGGATTGCAATAGGGGGTTACTATAATCCCTATATTAAGGACCCTGAAACTTAGAGCCTAAACCCTAAACGCTAAACCCTAAACCCTGAACTGCTACTATAAGGGGAAACAGCTTTGTTGTCCTTCTGCTGTGCGGAGAGAGCACGTAAATTTGGGGCATCACAGCCTCCAGGTGAAGCGCTCACGAAGCTGGCCGCCAGGCCTTACTTTGGATGTTGCCCGTGGTTTAGGGTTTAGGGTTTAGGGTTTAGGGTTTAGAGTTTAGAGTTTAGGGTTTAGGGTTTAGGGTTTAGGGTTTAGGGCTTGCCAAAACCGACTTCTGGAAGGCCAATCTCCACCCTTGACTCTACAGGTTGCGGGAGTGGGGCCTGCGGGCTGCGCACCTGCCTAGACCCTAAACCCTAAACCCTAAACCCTAAACCCTAAACCCTAAACCCTAAACCCTAAACCCTAAACCCTAAACCCTAAACCCTAAACCCTAAACCCTAAACCCTAAACCCTAAACCCTAGGCTGCTTCCGGAGGGCCCTTGTGGAGGGGTGGTAGATTGGGGCTGCTCATGTGGCCATACTTGCCCAACAACATTCTGTTAAGCCCTTAACTCTGGGTCTATCATCCAATTCTGGAGCTCAAAGTAGGTTTCACATCCTGGTTCGGGGTTTAGGGTTTAGGGTTTAGGGTTTAGGGTTTAGGGTTTAGGGTTTAGGGCTAGGGTTTCAGTCCACCAGTTCCAAGCTCAGGAAGAGGGCTGCGGGCCTCTTTTCGCCGTTGCAGACCAAGCCCGCGTGGCCTACGCCGAGGAGTGGGCAAGGCTTGAAGCGAGGCCTTGGCCGAGGATTTGTTGGGTTTAGGGGGGGGGGTTTAGGGTTTAGGGTTTAGGGTTTAGGGTTTAGAGTTGGCGTTTAGGGTTTACGGTTTAGGGTTGAGGGTTTAGAGTTAGGGTTTAGGGTTGAGGGTTTAGTGTTTAGTTTCTCAATCGTCATTCTCCTTCCTTCCGCCATTTGACGCTAAACCCCAAACCCTAAACCCCAGACCCTAAACCCTAAACCCCAAACCCCAAACCCTAAACCCTAAACCCCAAACCCTAAACCCCAAACCCCAAACCCCAAACCCCTAAACCCTAAACCCTAAACCCTGAACTGCTTCAGCCTGGTCGGCCTTCGTCGCGTGCAAGCCACCGAGCCGGTTCTCCGCGCGCGCGTCGCGGAGCTCTCCGAGGAGCTTGGCGTGCGGCGCTATGATTTCGCAGCCCGAGCTGCACTTGAGTAGGGTTTAGGGTTTAGGGTTTAGGGTTTAGGGTTTAGGGTTTAGGGTTTAGGGTTATAGGGTTATAGGGTTATAGGGTTATAGGGTTATAGGGTTATAGGGTTATAGGGTTATAGGGTTATAGGGTTTAGGGTCTAGGGTTTAGGGTTATAGGGCTACAGGGCTTAGGTCTTAGGGCTTAGGGCTTAGGGCTACGTACCTTATAGTGGGATGTGAAGCCGCCTCTCTGAGGGTTTGTTTTGGCCCAGCGGCCGTACTTCACATGACTTTTGAAGCAACTTTAGAGCTTTGGGGTTTAGGGTTATAGGGGTGTAGGGCTTGGTGGCTAAGTGGTGCGCTTCTGCCCCTTTTGGGTTTCAGGTTCCCGTATATCCGCCCCAAAAAGGTACCCATATTCTGACATGGCTGCTGAGCTACTAAGAAGAAGACTCGCCTGCAGCCTCTCACTTGTATGAGCCCCATGAAGCCGAACAGGGTTTAGGGTTGAGGGGATTGGGTTTAGGGTTTAGGGGTTTGGGTTTGGGGTTCAGGTTCAGTGTAGGGAAATTGACACAGGAGGGGCTGGGGCCTGCGGCTTCAACTCGGTTGCTGTTGCATATGGCTTGAGGCAGGGTGAGGAGGAGGCCTCGCTTCTGCCTAAGGCTGCTGCGCGGGTCGCACCTTGCGCCAACAGGTGCATCAGTGGATTGCAGAGCACAAGCAAGAGGCTTCTGACGGCTGGATCTTGGACCCTCGGGCTACTGAGGCCACTGAAGGCGGTTCGTTGCCTACTGACTTTGACACGTGGCATGACAATATCCTCCGCCCTAATCGGTGGATTTGTCAGTTCACGCTTCGCGCTGCCGCGCGGCGTCTCGGGGTGCGCATCGTTGTTGTGCGCCACAACGGGACCTCCTGGGAACAACCCTTGGCTGTTGGTAAGGCTGGTCGCAGTACACAGCCTCTGGTGCTCGCCCTTAGGGAGGACCACTACACCGTGCTGGTCCCCAAGGCACGCCGTGAGCTGCCCAGTGCCTGGACTGACTGCGTGCCTCAAGGGGCGCTCAGCGACCACTTGCGTGGAGGTGGGGGCCCGTCGCGTCCGCGGCTTAGTTCGGCTGCCTCCCAAGCTCCTGCCTCCGTCGCGCCCTCAGATAGTGTAGCTTGGCTGCCCCCGCCTGAGCCTTCGGATAGTGAGAGCTGGTTGCCGCCCCGCTCTGCTGTAAAGGCCGCCAGTGGCGCGTCCTGGCTTCCGGCCCAGTCCTGTACTGGCGAGAAGAAGAACCGGGCTAACCTTGATGCGCTCTTGGGCCCTGATGGTCCCCCAAAGCGCCGCAGGATCGTTGGGAAGTGCAAGGGCTTTAGGTGTCTCGGTAGCGCTTGTCAGCCCTCCTCTGTCCCCACTGCCGCTAGCAACCTCGACGTTGCTAACCTGGAGGAGGTTGCGGATGGCGAGCCTTCGTCGGAGGGTCCAGCTGGGTCTCACAACAAGTGGAATTGTCCGGTCTGCCAAGCTGTCATGCCCTTTGGTACCAAGTGGCACCATGTCCGAAGTAGGCACCCTGACGTGCCTGTCGACCTGTTTAAGGTGGAGCAGCCACTTGCGATCGCCTTCTCTGCTATGCTGCCGGAAGACCAAACAGGGTTTGTGTGTCCGCTTAAGGGATGCCGAATGCGCTTGCCTCACCTTCCGACTCAGGCGAGGAAGCGCGCTAAACGGGAGCATCTTCGCCTGGTTCACCCTCGGTTCAAGGGCACCCTTTTTCAGTACTCTTCTCTCGCCCTAAAGGGCGTGCCCAAGAAGACCAAAGGCGTGTCTACGACGCAGAGCAGAAAGCATGCTCAAGAGCGTGCCAAGAAGCAGGGGTCTCACGACCTTGTTGTCTACCGGCCTGCGGCTTGGACTAAGGATCAGCGTGGTAGTTTCGTGGTGTGCAGGCGGTGCTTATCCGTCACACAACACGAAGCGCCAAAGGTCAGGCATTTGCCATGCAAGGAGAGGTTGCGCCGCCTCAGAGAAATGCCGTTGGTTCGAATGAGAAAGCGCCAATGGTGGCTACGCCTCAAGAATCAGGATATCGCTGAGAGAGATGAGTTCCTTCGTCATACTGGGCTTACTGCTGCGCAAGTTGACGAACTTGTCGGGTGCCTTGATGCGCCCACTCCTAGGCAAACGGCTTGGGCCAAGATGTCGGCTCAGGCTAAGACCAAAGCCAACCGGCGGGTGCCTCGTCCGTCTGCTGCCAAGGTGAGCAAGCGGCCCGCTTCGCGCATCCCTGCGGCCCAGTCGGCCAAGCACCGGTTGGGCGGGTACCGAGCCAAGAGGGTGGGAGAGGCGTCTCTCCCGGGCCCTAGCTCGGAGCGTTTGTCAATGGCCCAGTATGCCAAGCACCGCTTGGGAGGGCACCGCGCTAAGAGGGTTGGCGAGGCGGCACACCCAGGTCCCAGTATTGGTGGCCGCAAGGGTGCCACTGCAGCTGCTCTGACCTTTCTGTGCTTGAACACTGGAGGAGCAGTTGCTGCTTGGACTTACCTGCGTGAGCATCTCTCACAGGACAGACGTGATGTTGTTTGCTTGCAAGAAACTGCCATGTCATGTACTGAAACTTCGGGCTTTCTTCGCACCGCTTCTCGGTATGGTTACTGTGGTTACTCCCAAGCTGCCTCTGGGTATCATGGGCGGGCTGGTGGCGTCATCACCCTCGTGCGCAAAACCATCCCTCAGCGGCCGTCGTGGGGTGGGAGCATGTCCGATGCTGAAGTCCTTGGCGTGTGGGTCGGGGGCTGGATGGTTGCCAATATGTACGCGCATCCTCATGAAAATGGGCCCTCACAGGCTGGCACTCTCTTGTTGAACCTGTTCATCGCTGACAGGCTCCCTCCCCAACAGCCTTGGGTCCTCATGGGTGATCACAACGAGCTTCCTTCCGACTCTAGCGTGTTGGGCGTCGCTCAGGCGCTTGGTGGGGAGTACCATGGTACTGGCCAGCCCACGCGGTGGGAGGGGAAACGGGAAATCGACTGGGTCGCTTGTAATCGGTCAAATGCCATGTCCAATGTCAGTTTTGGCAGAGAGCGCATCAGCGATCACAAGGACCTGCGATTCCAGCTCCAAGCTGACTGCACCGGTCCAAGTCGGGGTTTTACCGCGTGCAGGTGATCTGCGACGGCCTGCTGAGGTGACTACGGTTCAGTGGCGAGCTGCGCTTGCCTCTGCCTGGGATGCCAGCCCCCAAGTTGCGGTTCTCAGCTCCTTGCTGAGCCAGGGATGTACGGATGTTCAGAAGCTTTGGGATGAGTTCCAGAAGGCACTGCGCCAAACTTTTGTCGACGCCTTCCGGGCAGTTCAGGTTGAGCCTCCGACTGGGCCTAGACTTGAGGCTAAGGGTGACTGTGCTCAGGTTTCGTGGGAAAACCAAGCTTGCAGAGGTCCCAGGCTTTCCAACGGTAGCATGGCTGCTAGGAAACAGCGCAAGGCTCTGGCGCGGCTGTACGACTACCAGCGCATTGCCGCTAAGGTTGAGAGTGGCACGGCTTCGGAACAGGAGCAAGCTAACTTTCGATCGCTTTGTCGTCGCCTCGGGTCCCCGGGTCCGCGAGCCACGCGGGAGATGATACAGCAAGCCGATGCTCAGCTGCAGCGTCACGAGGAAGAGGTCAAGCGTGATAACCTCAAGAATCCTAGAGAGCCCACATGATCCAAAATGAGTGATGCGCACGCGAATGATTGTTGTGAAAGCATCCAAGCATGATGAGCATTTGGAGATCAAGCCCGAATTAAAGGGCATGTTGGTGAAATGCAAGAAGGGTTCTCAGACATGAAGCAACATGCTGCACAAAGAAGAAGCGGACATAAACATGTTCAGGATCGATTGGATTTGTTTCTCTAGTGTCCATTAACTTCTTTGACTTTGCGAAAATTTCGTTTGATGTCATGATGTGTACCTGGATAAGTGCGGGCGCGCGCCCGGGCGCGCCCCCGCGCGCCCGGGCGCGCGCCCGCGCGCCCGGGCGCGCGGGCCCATGTACTTGATGAATTCACACGCAAAGGGATGAATTCACACGCAAAAGGAAATCGTTACGAAAATTACATCGAACTAATCTCCATTAGATATACACGTGATTGTTTTTTTCAGAAGACAAGAGTTTCAATTTGTTGAACTGCGTGTGCAAGTGGATCCAGCGCTTTTCTCTTCACGCAATGCTCACGCAATTGGGATGACCTCGCCGGGCGTGCACTTTTCTCTTCACGCAATTCTCACGCAATTGGGATGACCTGACACGCAAAATAAGACATTAGCTTCGAAGAAACATTCGAACCAATTTCATTATAAGAAACTGGTTGGTTCTTTTTTCTTAATTATTTTGTCTTGCGTGTGAATTGGTCGACTTGCGTGCCTAGGAGGATGTGCGCGCCTGGGCGCGCCCCGCGCGCCTGGGCGCGCTGGGCGCGCCTGGGCGCGCGCTTCCTTTACAGGGGTTCGCTTTCTGCTACCAATGGTATTGTCAGTGAGGAGCAACAATATTTTGCCTTGACACAAAATGCAAGCTTCCAGCAAATTCAACGGATTATTTCCAACCTCTGTCGCAAAGCGAAGAAGTCTTGAGCCACATATACAAAAAGACATATATATCTATAACATATAAACAAGAAGCCTTTGGTTCACCCAAACAAAGCCTTGAGTCACATTTTTAAAGAAGCTTACATATCTTCACCCTTTCAACCACAACCCTCTGGTTCACCTCTACACGTGCTTTTTGTTCCCGAAGGCCTGGGGCCTGGGGTTTAAAGTTCAAAGGGGGCTCTTGGGTTTAAGGTTTGAGTTTTACTTTTCGGGCCTACACCTCGGCACGTCAACCAAAGGGTCGGCTTCAACTAAGAAACATCAGCTCCTCCTGGAGCCCCTTTGAACCCTCCAGACGCCCTCCGACGCAAACAAACACGGAACCTTAAAAACATACACTTGCAACACCGCAACATCCTTCCAAAGAAAACCACC